AGTCAGAACTGGCGGTCAGTTTCAGCAGCGGCTGAATCTGGAGCCAGTTCTGACTTACATACAGATTCAACTTAAGAACAAACCTACAGTCCCTATCTTGTACGTAACCCGGGGACTGCCTGTACTCCAAAAGTGGGACGGGCCTTGCTCTCGCTGTCACTGGGGTGGCTCTCGCCTGGCCCGGATTAACAAGTGGCTTGCTGCTAAAGTGGCGGTCAGTTTCAGCAGCGGCTGAATCTGGAGCCAGTTCTGACTTACATACAGATTCAACTTAAGAACAAACCTACAGTCCCTATCTTGTACGTAACCCGGGGACTGCCTGTACTCCAAAAGTGGGACGGGCCTTGCTCTCGCTGTCACTGGGGTGGCTCTCGCCTGGCCCGGATTAACAAGTGGCTTGCTGCTAAAGAGCGAGGAGTTTTCACACCGAAATAGCCTTCGTCTCTGCCTGCCACCCCATGCGCCGTCACTCACCCCATGGGTCTTTCTAGCCAAAGGTTCAGCATCTTCCAAAACGACAAGCAGGGAAAACAGTCCCATTTGTCAAGGCAGGAGAAACATTCAGATGAAAAAGAATTCAGGGAAAGTTTGACTCCACAGGACAGTTAATAATGTAAAAATGGGGTCTCCGCCCACGAATCCTGCTCAAGACGCATCCCCGCTCTTGCCGCTCTGCCGTGGCTGTGGGCGGGATCACTCCGTGTTGTGCACTGGGCATGGCAGACATGGCTCAGCTGCCAGGTGGCCGGGCAGAGGCAGAGAGCTGGGTGTAGGGCCTGTCCCCCCAGGGGAGCCAGTCACAGCTGACAGGAGGCAAAGCTGAACTAACCCTGGGCAGTGATGTGCACTGCAGGGAGCAGAGAGGCAAGAACCAGGAGATTTCCGGACCTGCCTTGGTAGCCATCGGAAGCAGACCACTGGTCCCACCCTCTTCCTATCTCAGAAAGGAGCCACGTTCGTCTGGATCTGCAAAAACAACCAGCAGTCCTGGGGCACGCTGGAGACTAACAGATTTATTGGGGCATCAGCTTCCATGAGTCAAACCCACTTCATCAGAGGCATGGATGGAAATCACGGGATACGCGCCATCCTGCACCAGCTGTTAGCTACAGGCTAAACGGGACAGGCTCGGCGCCGCCGGCTACAACGAGAC